GGATTCCACTAAAAAACACAGCCCAATCATGTCCCACAACCAACAGTAACTTCAACAACACAACTAACAACATCAACAACAACTAACAACTTCAACAACAAATTCAATCTTTTCTCAAACCATAAACATGAGCTTGGTGTGTGGGGGAAATGATCAACCCACACAAAGAACTCACATACCTGATTAGGGATCACCCCCGACGAAATCCACGATGATCTCCTTGCTTGATCTTCCCTTTCTCCTCTTCTTCTCCTCTTCTTCTCCTCTTCTTTCTCTCTTATCTTCCAAGCCCTAACTCTCACTCTTACTATCACTCTTTAAAATGGGACAAAAATGATCCAAACATCAGTCTAACACCTCAATATAACCCAAAGAAAAGATTAGGGAAAAGACCAAAATACCCTTAAAATTTTCGGACTAAACAAACTGCCCTGTGCGACTGTGCCAACAGCCCAACTTCCCAAGGGCATAACTCACTCATCCGAACTCGGAATCAAGCAAACTCGGCGGCGTTGGAAAGATCACTCCAAGGGATTTCCATACATTACTGGAAATTCGCCTAAATCATTCTGAGGTAGGAGTTACGACTACTCAAAGTTGACCAAAAACTCACCTTTTTTCCATACTTAGCCAAATTTTCCAGATTCTTTCCAAAATGACTATTTCCAATTCAACTCTTCTTGTAACTCAATGTGCTACATCTAGGGACCTTAAATTAACACTCAAGAAATTTTATTCCTCGGTAAAATCTCACTCCACATGGAGGACGACTCGAGTCTTAGTTTGAAAAATTCTCTGGGGTGTTACAAAGGTGCCTTCTCGCGCCGTCATCGTTGCTCACTCGGCTTTGGCTTTGGATTTGACAAATGATTTGATTGATAATATCTTTGGACAAAATTTATTTAATCAATCTCATTAATTGATTTCCTTTTAAATTAATTCAGAATGTTAATTAATTAACAGAATTAATTTTGCGTAACGAAATTATTTGAAATTCGCATGTAGCGGTAAAGTCTCTCTGAAGGGACCTGTTCCTTTCAAAAAGACGTTATTTTTCCCAAAAAGACACAACGTTTTAGAAAGACATGTCTAAACAGATGCGTTCATACCAATGTCCGAACAGACGTGTTCCTTGCTGCAAGTGGCTATAAATAGAGAGTCTTTTTCTGTTTTTTAACACTGAAAATGTTTTCCTCTCTGCATACAGTTTTTACAAAAACAAAATTGTCGATAGACTGAATCTGTGTGTGCTCTCGTTGTTGATCTTGCGCTCGCTGAAATTAGTGAAGTTTGAGGTACCGCTACTTCTCTAATAGTTAATCTGTTTTATCTTGGGAGGAATTAATCTATAACCTCGGGTACTGGAGGGGATTAAATTTCTTAAGGAAACACAGTGGGTACTGGGGACTCAGAATATTATTTTTTGTCTGTTTCATCATTTTTCTGTTTCTGTTTTTTGTTAACCTGAATACAGGAGATAAAAAAAAAGAAAATGGTGAAAGAGACAGTATTATGATGTTCTTGGTGTAAGTCCTTTAGCATCTGAAGAGGAAATTCACAAGGCATATTATCTCAAGGTTTTTTCTACTTCTTTTTTAATTTATTTTTTTACTTTATATGTTTGAACTTTTTGTAGTTTTTGTGAGTGTTGGGGTAGATTTAATTTACGTGGCATTAGTTGGAATTTTGAGATTCAAACTTCTATAATTTGACAGTAACTTCGGATACAGAAGCTTTAAATTTTCTGATATAAAATTTATGTATTTGAAAATTATGTGAAAAGCATTGTAAATCACAATAATTAACAATTTAAAAAACAAAATCCCAATTGTCACATTAATTGAGATAGAGGGAGTATTGTTTAAGTTTCATCTATTGAAAATTTTTCCATCAATATATGTATGTGTGTATTTATATAGAGTGTGTATGTAAATTGTTGTATAGAAATGACTGTTGGTTAGTCAAGAACTCTCATGTCTAGAAGATGCATGTTGCAGAGATGTGGATATTGAGGTGGATGTGCCTTCATACTCAGAGCGATAAAGATTAGAAATGAGGATATAAGGGATAAGGTGGGAGCGGCCTCCGTAATAGATAAGATGAGGGAAATATAGAAATATGTCAATTCAAGCGAGAAAGCTAAATTTTGTTACCAATGTTGGAACCTATGGAAATAATGCACCTAAGGGGTTGATTCATAAATAGAATCAGCCATTGGATAGAGTTAAATTTAAAAGAAAGGATTATATTAGTTCTTCAAAACTTCTTATTTCCTAAACGAGAAACTTTTGATACTAATAAGAAGAAGTGAAGTTAATAAAGAGTTCTCTTATCATAAATCTTGTTTCTAGTTTAACAGTTCAAAAATGTAATAAGATAATAGTTTTTTTTTTTGGTCAGAACGGCGATATATTATATATATTATAATAGCATCATACAATCAGTAGCGGCGTTATTGCTGCTAGCACCAGTTTGAGTCATATAGTTAGCATTAGAGCTTACAGATACTATATTACATAATAGAGGTTTTCGCTTAATAGACACATCCTTGTTCTTGTCAAAAGCATCCAAAACAAAAGAGGGGGCATTGTGCCATTCTTCAAACAAAACATTCCCTGGGAGGTTCCTTCCATGACGCGCTAGCAGGTCAGCCACTCTGTTTCCTTCCCTAGGTTCATGCTGGATCGTTGGCTCCTTCATCCGCCGGACCAACTCCCTGCAGTTAATCAAAATATTTGATTCAGTATCATTAGAATTCGCCAACATTTTTATTACCTCTGTGGAATCCATGGCAATGTTGATGTCCATGAAGTTTTGGGCTAGTCCTAGCCTTAGGCCATGAATTAAGGCTGAGAGCTCAGTGTATGCCACTGAGATAGCAGTGATCTTAGTGGTTTTGCCTACTATCTAGTTACCTTCTGAATCACGGATTACACACCCCGTACCTCCTTTATTGGTATTTGGATCGAAAGAGCCATCGATATTCATCTTGAGGCCAGTAGGGGAAGGGGACCAATTGTGAGTGTTGTCCTTATGGTTATTTGTAGTCTTAGTATTGATATAGGGCCCAAGGGCTAGTGCTATTATTTAATGTGAATTAGTTGTATCAATCAATGAACTAGCACTCACTCTTAAGTGGATCAGGCCATTTACTATTCTGTTTACATAATTTTCCTTAACAAGGGATGATGTACTAGTGAAGTTAGAAAGTTTGGAAAAAAATAGGTACAAATAAGGAAAATAAGAAGTAAGATGTGCATATCATGCACTCAATGTAATATTCATAATTTCGAGCCTATGCTATTGACTAACTTAATAGACTTGGCTAGAATACAAAAGACATGTAAAAAACCCTATACAGATGGAGATAAGTCGAACTCGGACGACATCAGCTCACCCTTCATCTCAGAGGATCTCCGCATTACTTAGGCTTGAATCATCGTTATCGGCTGGCGCTCAAATCTACATCAAGAAAATAGATGTGGAGTGTAGCATGAATATCAAAATAGCAGGTGCCCAATAGGCATCATAGGTTGACTGAGCTTGCAAAGTAAAAACAATATGAAAAATATGAAAGTAACAGTAATTAAAGGTCAAATAAACAAAGCAATAACAGAAAGTCTAACTATATAGCTAACGAGTCTGGAAAGAATGAAGTAGTAAAGTAAAACAATTATCTATAACCTAACTGACCCCTATAAGCCCAGAAAGTATGTATACTCGTGTGTAATTAGAAAGTAAATAACTCATCCGAGTTTGGACTCATATAAGCCTGATAAGTACGCAGAAGTGCTAAGGATAATACTAGCTAGACTAAAAGCTTTCAAGAACTGGAATGGTTGACTCTAGACTCGAACTTTGGCGAAGGCACCCCAAAGAACCCAAATGAACCACATGTTAGGATTTGAACCGAGGCGAATAAAGATATGTTGGGGCCTCGAACCGTGGCTAAAGGAGATACACCAACGCTTCGAACCGTGGCTAAAAGACTCCAAATATATATATCACACACTCTTTCTCATGCGGGAACATACTGTAGAGAGAAACCATATTTGTTAATAATATAATATTTTGCTAGCAAAATATTATATAAAATTAATATTGAATTAGGATTCACGCAGAAGAATTTCACATTATGGTTAAAGTGCTCCCTAAAAGAGATAATTTTAGAGGAAAATAAGCAAATACCCCATAAAAGTAAAATAATTACAAACATATACCCCTTTACATTCATACCTCACTAAATAATTACACTATATATCCATTTACTAATTTCTCTTAACACATACTAAATCAGTATCATATATACTGTATTGGTATCATATTTAAGGCTGATAATTTCGCTAAATTGATACTAAATCAGTATATATATATAATGTATTGTTATCATTAAGGTTTGTTGTTAAGAAATTACTCATTAGTCAATGATACTATAAGAGTATATATATACTCTTATAGTATCATTGACTAATGAGTAATTTTTTAACAAGAAATCTTAATGATACCATAATATACATATATATATACTCTTATAGTATCATTGACTAATGAGTAATTTCTTAACAACAAACCTTAATGATACCACAACAATATACATATATACTCGTATATATCATTGACTAATAAGTAATTTCTGAACAAGAAACCTTAATGATACCAATACAGTATATATGTACTGATTTAGTATCAGTTAAGCAAAATTATCAACTTTAATGATACCAATACAATATATGATATCGATTTAGTCACTTAAACAAAAACTATCACCCTTAATGAATGGGGGCATGGACCGTAATTATTTCATGAATTACTTTGAACTTGGGTATGAACTTGTAATTATTTTAAATTTCATGGCCCATTTATGTAGTTTTTTCATGATTTTATAGCTAAGAAGACTCAAGCCCAAAACCTCTTAAGAGGACCTTGGTGAGCCCAAAGGTAATTAAAACCCTAGATAAAAGGAATTAAGAGGAGTTGTATAAAATAAAATGACAAAAGAAGTGTGAGGAAGTAGTCAAGTGTTGAGCTATTTCTACAACACCACTCAATCAATCCAATATCTCTTTTTCCATTTTTGTGCTTGTCGTAATTTGCGCCACTTCTTCTTCATCAGCTTATAAGGTTAGATTTCTCATTTTTATTTTATTTTTTTGAATCTGAATTTGTCATAATTGGGGATATAGGGTTTTGTTGCCATTGTTTCTGTTACTGCTAATTCTTTTTTTATTTCTTTCCATCTTTTGCATTTAAAAATTGTTCCATTTCCAAGGGTTTGTCGATTGATATAATAGTTGAAAACGGGTATTTAAATTACATGCAAAATTGCTCTAGAAAATCACATGACTTCTTCTTTACTAGTCTCCTCTTAATTTGGCGCTGATTATTGATCAGTCCAACTCATTTCAGTCCAATTTATTTTTGGTTTGAGACTCAAAATCATCCATTTCCTTTTATATGGTGCACGAATACTCCTTCAAATTTTAAGTAGTAATGCACTTTTAGTCTCCTCCTGACGTGTCTTTACTTTTTAACGTCCACATATATATTCTAGAATTTTTAGTTGTAGTTCAACGCTAAATTGTTCGGACCCTTCACTTTTAGTGCTGGACCACGACATGGATGTGGGTGTTGGATCTCTGTTCGATTTGGTCAATCTATTTTGGGTACTTTGACTAAAATTGACTGGACAATTTTAATGAATTATGTAACTAATAAAAAAACTAAGGTGAAATTGAAGAAATTGTAATACTTTTATATAAAAATGTATATATTGGTCGGCAACATTGAGAGATGCTAAGAATGAAATAAATATCTTCTTAAGTACTTCTTTTTATGCCATAAAAATATAAATAAGCTAAAAGTCAAAAGTTGGTATTCTCAACTTATGGCTTTTAGCTTATAAGATATTTTTTAACGTTTTAAAAATATTCTTATATTAATTATATTCAAGCACAGACCAAATGAAATAAATCTATATAAAAAAATGGAAAGTAAATAAAGGAATATAAAGAGTTGAGGAAAGTATATGGCAATTTTCTTGCCAACGATAAATTATGAAAAGTATGATTGAAAAGTCATGAGATTATGTTTTTCAAGGAATATTTAGGGGGTGAGATCAAAAGCATTACCATTTGTACACAAGAGTGTAAAAACTAGTCATTCAATGAACTTTCTGGTTCCTATTACTACAAAAGTTGGTAGAAAAAACCCAATTATTTAAGTTCACCATCCGGAAGGAGGACCTCTAACAATAAACAGACACTTGCAACCAGTTGGTATGATATCGAAGAAGTATTCAATTTGCTCGACAACATTATCCTGGTCCTGAGTTTCATCTCCACTCTTTATTAGAGCTAGGCTCTCCTTGTAATAGAAAACACAACAGCCAATACGGTCCAAATCAATTCCAAGATCTGCAACTTCACTTGTTGTAGGGTCATATAGCACCAGCTGTGAAGTTCATCTGATTTTGAAAATAATCTTATCGTTCTCCCAGATGTCGTAAGGCCGATGAGGATCTATAGGAGGTTGAACTGTAAGAACTTTCGACCAACTTCCCTTTTGTTTCATTTCATATATGGATGTCATAGACTTATCACTGGCTAACATTGCAAGTGAGTCGCCACGCAATGTAAGCTTCCTCCAGTGTTCATTGGGAATAACTCAGAGTTGCATATCCCCAAACTGTTCGCTGCCCATGTCAAATGAGTGAATCATCTCATTTACATGCAATGAACGCCAATAATTAACCCCATTGAGATAAGTGGCATCAAAGGACAAACTTGAGGTATAACTAGAAGGGAATTCCAGGACCTTGCATGAGTTGTCGTATGAGGAATAGACACAGACAGAGACATGAGGGTCATCGTGCTGTCCCTTATAATCTCGAATCCATAAAACCTTATAATCTTGATTCAACATGTCAAACCCCAACCCAGATTGATGATAATGGTTTGAGAAAAAGTGCTCAATCTCAAAAGGCGCAGGAGGCAGAGGACGGAACTCTATGGTGGCAGGATTCCACAAACCCAAGCGCACATCGTCATAATAATTTTTTTCCTGCAATAAGAATAAGCAGTCAACTGGGCCAGCAACACAACTGAAACTAGCGACCCTCGGAAGGTGAACGAGAACTTTTTGTTCAAGGATCACATCCGGAACTATTTTTTAGGGAGCAAGGAGAATTCAACAGACTTTACGAAAAAGTGTTCTACCATTGCTACTTTAAAGTCGCAAACGAGGAGACGGGCACAATTGTTCTTCTGATGAAAATGTTTCTCTTTGAAACTCACACTTTTGATGAGAGAAAACCAGTGCTTGCACACACATTTGAAATGCAAGTGATTCCATTGGCAATCTTGATAGAATATCAACCATAATATCTTTGGGTAAAGGACAATGACCATCCATACTGGTGGTCGTTTGCTCCCCAATCTTTTACCTGGAAATATAAGCAGATCTCTCGATTGGAATAAACATAATGACACAACTTACAAACATATTGATGAGAACAGATCTAGAATACATGCATTAATAGAACAAAAGAGTAAGAAAGAAATCAAGCAACAGTTTTACCATGTTATCAAACTTAGCAAAAAAGAGTAAATTACACATTTGGCCGCTCAACCAAAAATGTGTAACATCCACTAGCCAATACTGTTAAATTAGGACTCACACCCAAAAACTAGCTAATAGGGAGGAGGATTGCCCAAGCCTTATAAGGAGTCCAACAATCTAGTCTCGGTCCAATGTGGGATCATTTTCATTAGCAAATACACATATATCACATGTACAGTATACATCTGCGAACTAGTTTTTTTTTATTTTTTGGGATGGGCAGCTATTTATGTTATTTCCGTAGGAAAATAGAACGATGGGAATTCTTAATAAAGAACTAGTTATTTAGTTTTCTATTGTTTTCATTACCAATCAATGATTTTTTTATTTTTTTTAATCCTCCATCTCAATTTAGCATATACAACCAATTTGCAGGTAATTTAAGAAGGATGAAACAATAAATAACACACCCTTTTCAATTAACATCAATCCACAACACTTGGAAAAAGAACAAGCTTAACTTAGCACTACCTGCAAATATTTCTAACTATTGAAAATTGAAAGATGCTAAGAATGGTCAAAACAGGGGTGGATCAAATTTAATAAAGAGCAAAATCATAACCATTAATGCATAAATACATCTATGTTGGTCGGACTATTCAAAAATATTGCAGGGTACATTTCAGATCCTCCAAAAGTAATAATGCATTTTTGGAGGATCTGACATGAGTGCGGCAATATTTTTCGGAGATTCCGAATATATTGTACAACTCTAACCTGCAAAACCCTAATTTAAGAGTAAAATCCTACATCACTAATAGTACAAATTCAAAACAAAAGAAAAATAGAGGAGTATTTAGAAAGAAAATGAAAGCTAACCTTATAAGGTTGATGAAGAAGAGCCGGTGCGATTGTGAGAAGGAAAAGACTAGGAAAAGCGCAAAAATGAGATGATATCATCTTCCTTCGATGTTAATTTATACAACTCGTATAATCCCTTTATTTAATATTTTAAATATTGGTACATAATGTATATAGACGCATCTTAGTATAATATACATAGCGCAATCATAGGTAGAGATAATGTATATAGCACAATCATAATGATAGACGCATTTTATTTTGAAATTGACACCGAAGAATATCCATTATTCCACAAACAAAGACACATAAGTTTGGTCCTTTGATTTGCACTTTTTTTCATTTTACTTTGTGTTTTATTCTTCGGTGCCAATTTCAAAATAAAATGTGTCTATATATATTATGATTGTGCTATATACATTATCCCTAAATATCTCTACCTACGATTGCGCTATGTATATTATACTAGTATGCGTCTATATACATTATGTACCAATAATTAAAACATTAAATAAAAGGGATTATACGAGTTGTATAAATTAACATAGAAGGAAGATGATATCATCTCGTTTTTGCGCTTTTCCTAGTCCTTTCATTCTCACAATCGCACCGGCTCTTCTTCATCAACCTTATAAGGTTAGCTTTCATTTTCTTTCTAAATACTCCTCTATTTTTCTTTTGTTTTGAATTTGTACTATTAGTGATGTAGGATTTTACTCTTAAATTAGGGTTTTGCAGGTTAGAGTTGTACAATATATTCGGAATCTCCGAAAAATATTGCCGCACTCATGTCAGATCCTCCAAAAATGCATTATTACTTTTGGAGGATCTGAAATGTACCCTGCAATATTTTTGAATAGTCCGACCAACATAGATGTATTTATGCATTAATGGTTATGATTTTGCTCTTTATTAAATTTGATCCACCCCTGTTTTGACCATTCTTAGCATCTTTCAATTTTCAATAGTTAGAAATATTTGCAGGTAGTGCTAAGTTAAGCTTGTTCTTTTTCCAAGTGTTGTGGATTGATGTTAATTGAAAAGGGTGTGTTATTTATTGTTTCATCCTTCTTAAATTACCTGCAAATTGGTTGTATATGCTAAATTGAGATGGAGGATTAAAAAAAATAAAAAAATCATTGATTGGTAATGAAAACAATAGAAAACTAAATAACTAGTTCTTTATTAAGAATTCCCATCGTTCTATTTTCCTACGGAAATAACATAAATAGCTGCCCATCCCAAAAAATAAAAAAAAACTAGTTCGCAGATGTATACTGTACATGTGATATATGTGTATTTGCTAATGAAAATGATCCCACATTGGACCGAGACTAGATTGTTGGACTCCTTATAAGGCTTGGGCAATCCTCCTCCCTATTAGCTAGTTTTTGGGTGTGAGTCCTAATTTAACAGTATTGGCTAGTGGATGTTACACATTTTTGGTTGAGCGGCCAAATGTGTAATTTACTCTTTTTTGCTAAGTTTGATAACATGGTAAAACTGTTGCTTGATTTCTTTCTTACTCTTTTGTTCTATTAATGCATGTATTCTAGATCTGTTCTCATCAATATGTTTGTAAGTTGTGTCATTATGTTTATTCCAATCGAGAGATCTGCTTATATTTCCAGGTAAAAGATTGGGGAGCAAACGGCCACCGGTATGGATGGTCATTGTCCTTTACCCGGAGATATTATGGTTGATATTCTATCAAGATTGCCAGTGGAATCACTCTTGCGTTTCAAATGTGTGTGCAAGCACTGGTTTTCTCTCATCAAAAGTGCGAGTTTCAAAGAGAAGCATTTTCATCAGAAGAACAATTGTGCCCGTTTCCGACTTTAAAGTAGCAATGGCTCAACACTTTTTCATAAAGTCTGTTGAATTCTCCTTGCTCCCTAAAAATATAGTTCCTAGTATGATCCTTGAACAAAAAATTCTCTTTTACCTTCTGAGGGTCGCTGATTTCAGTTGCGTTGTTGGCCCAGTTGATGGCTTATTCTTACTGCAGGAAAAAAATTATTATGGTGGTGTGCGCTTGGGTTTGTGGAATCCTTCCACCAGAGAGTTCCATCCTCTGCCTCCTACGCCGTTTGAGATTGACACTTTTTCTCAGACCATTATCATCAATTCAGGTTGGGGTTTGACATGTTGACTCAAGATTAAAAGGTTTTATGGATTCGAGATTATAAGGGCAGGACGATGACCCTCATGTCTGTGTCTGTGTCTATTCCTCATGCGACAACTCATGGAAGGACTTGGAATTCCCTTCCAGTTATACCTCAAGTTTTTCCTTTGACGCCACTTATCTCAATGGGGTTTATTATTGGCATTCATTGCGTGTATATGAGATGTACAAGATTCACTCATTTGACATGTGCAGCGAACAACTGATTTCTTACCATAAATAAGTTTTCCTTTTAAGAAAAGGTTTTAATATTTTGAGTAGTCCTTTTCTTGTAGGAAAGGTTTTAGGACTCTATAAATATAGGCATGTTCCTTTTAACTTAATCAGCATTCTCAATGTAGTCCTAAGGTTTTGAGAGTTGCGGTTATGGAGGAGAATTTTGTGTACCTCCTTGTATTCCGAGTGAATTGGTTGAGGTTGTTTCTCTCTATATTTTGTACTCTCATATTTATAGTGGATTGCTCATATCCTTTGTGGACGTAGGTCGATTGACCGAACCACGTTAAATCTGTCTCTTTTGGTGTGTTTCTCGTTTGTCTTCTTACTCGTGGTCTTTCGAGGTTTGCTTTGCTAGCTTCCGCAATACGCCTGCTTATTTCGATCGTAACAATTATTCCAAATGAACACTGGAGGAAGCTTACATTGTGTGGCGACTCACTTGCAATATTAGCCAGTGATAAGTCTATGACATCCATATATGTAATGAAACAAAAGGGAAGTTGGTCGAAAGTTCTTACAGTTCAACCTCCTATAGATCCTCATCGGCCTTACGACATCTGGGAGAACGATAAGATTATTTTCAAAATTAGACGGACTTCTCAGCTGGTGCTATATGACCCTACAACAAGTGAAGTTGCTGATCTTGGAATTGATTTGGACCGTATTGGCTGTTGTGTTTTCAATTACAAGGAGAGCCTACCTCTAATAAAGAGTGGAAATGAAACTCAGGACCAGGATAATGTTGTCGAGCAAATTGAACACTTATTCGATATCATACCAACTTGTCGCAAGTGTGTGTTTACTGTTAGAGGTCCTCCTTCCGGATGGTGAACTTAAATAATTGGGTTCTTGGTTTTTTCTACCAACTTTTGTAGTAATAGGAACCAGAAAGATCGTTGAATGACTAGTTTTTACACTCTTGGGTAAAAATGGTAGTCCTTTTGATCTCACCCCCTAAAAATTCCTTCAAAAAACATCATCTTATGCCTTTTTAATCCTACTTTTCATGGCAAGAAAATTGCCATATACTTTCCTCAAGTCTTTACATTCCTTTATATACTTTCAGGTTTTTTTATATAGATTTATTTCATTTGGTGTGTGCCTGAATATAATTAATATAGAAAGATATTTAAAACTTTAAAAATATCTTATAAGCTAAGATGATACTTCACACTAAGCCAATCAACGATCTATCATCATAGGTAAGAAAACGAAGTTCTTGCTGCGGGGTGGGCTTGGCGAATAGAAGTAGGCGGTTCAAAAGCAGTATGGGATGGATAAAAGGAAAGTCATAAGTTGAGAATATCAGCTTTTGACTTTTAGCTTATTTTATATTTTTATGGCATAAAAATAAGTACTTAAGAACATATTTGGATTGATTTATTTTAAGTGTTTGAATAAATATAAAAATTGCTTATAAACACTTAGTTTTAAGTCAATAACCATAAGTTAGAATTTCTAATTTATTTTACTTTAAATTTATAAATCAAAAACCCAAAAGTCAATCCGTTAAAACTTGAGCTATGAAAAAAATCATGTTGTGAAGCACCACCTCTGAATGTGCCTTGCAGTATGCAATTCGAATTTAGTCGAGCTCAAATATGGACTCCGAAAAAAATACTTTTTATCTTTCACATAATCGCACCAATTTAATAAAAAAGAGCTTGAAGCCAAAACTCTCCCTAAAATAACCTATAATCCAAACACTCTGGAGTGGCAAACAAGTATAGTAACAAAGAAGGAAGGAGATACCATCCATCTCGTTTATGCATTCTTCATCACCTTTGTAAGGTTAGATTTCAATTTCTTTCTATAATACTTTTCTTTTTTGAATTTGGAAATGTAAGGTTTTGCTTCTAAATTTTATCCTGCCCAATTTTGATCGTTCTTGCGTCTTCTAGATTTCAACTTCTAGAAATACTTGCAAGAAATGCCAACGTAAACTTGCTAAATTTTCAAGTGTTGTTGATTGTTGTTAATCGAAAGGGGTTGTTTGGTTGTTGATTAGAGTGAATACATTAATTAGTTATGCCGAGTTTTGGTTATTCCATCTTCTGCCTTGCATAAATAATACATATGTTTTCTTCTCAACTTATACATTTAAACCAGTAGTCAAATACCGTACTTGATGTGCTGATTTTAATACGTAAATAACTCACCGACTAACCAGACAGCCGTTTACTGCTTTATGGTCCGTAGATTACCTGCAAAATTGTTGTATATGCTAAGCTGAGATGTAGAGGAAAGCAAAAAGGAAATCATTGATTGGCTAATGAAAAGTCTAGAGAAGCATTATCAGTTCTTTACTAGTCTTGTATGAATTTCTATCTCTATGCTTTTCTATGGAAATTGACATTAACAGAAGGACTGTCATCCCTAAAACCGGCCTCTGTGCCTTCTGAGATTGATTCTAGTATTCTGAGATGAACCGGTACAGGGAGTTTACCCTTATGCCTATGTCTGCAAAATGGTTCCATATGCTAAGTTGTTGAGCTGTAGAACAAAAACAAAACCGTTGATGGGCTAATGAAAATACTACAAAACCAAATGACTGGTTCTTTACTATGAATTCCCATATTTTCATTTTCCTATGGAAATTAACATAAATAGTTGCTCATCCTAAAAAAACTAGTTGACAAATGTATACCATACATGTGTGTGTTTATTGATGAGAATGATCCTACATTGGACCAGGACGAGATTCTGCTTGAGCAACCTTCCTCCATATGAGCTAGGTTTTGGGTGTGAGTCCTAATTTGACAGTATTGGCTAAGTTTGATCACACGGTAACATTGCTGCTTGATTTCTTTGTTGCACTTTTGTTTTATTAATACATGTTTTGTAGATCTGTTCTCTTTGAAATATGTTTGTAAGTTGTCATTGTATTTATTTAGAGAGATCTGCAGATATTTCCAGGTAAAAGATTGGGGAGCAAAGGACCACCAGTATGGATTGTTATTGTCCTTTACCAGAAGATCTTGTGGTTGATATTTTATTGATGTTGTCAGTGGAACCACTCTTGCATTTCAAATGTGTGTGCAAGCACTGGTATGCTCTCATCAAAAGTGAGAGTTTCATAGAGAAGCATTTTCATCACAAGAACAACCATACCCGTCTCCTCATTTGCAACTTGAAATTAGAAGAGGAAGAACACACCCTCGTAAAGTCTTCTGTAGTCTCCTTGCTCCCTGAAAAAATAGTTCCGGGTGTGACCCCTGAACAAAAAATTCTCCTTCATCTTCCAAGGATCGATCATTTCAACTGTGTTGCTGGCCCAGTTAATGGCTTATTCCTACTGCAAGAATTATTTTGTGGATACGATGTCCACTTGAGTTTGTGGAATCCTGCCACCAGAGAGTTCCGACCTCTGCCTCCTGCGCCTTTTGCGACTGAGCACTTCTTATGTGACTATGATCATGAATTCGGATTGGGGTTTGACCAGTTGACTCAGGATTATAAGGCTGTTCAGATTCAAGAATCCTTTGATGTTCGGGGACAGGGACAGGGCTATTACCTTCATATGTCTGTCTCTGTCTATTCCTCATGCGATAACTCATGGAAGAAGCTACAATTCCCTTCCAGTTTTACCTCAGGTTTTCCCTATTCCGTCACATATCTCAACGGGGTTTATTATTGGATTTGTAGCAGCCTCAATAATAATATATGCAAGATTCAGTCATTTGCCATGGGCAGCGAACAGTTTGGGGAGATGCAAGGCCCAGGTAAACACTGGGTGAGGCTTACATTGTGTGGCGAATCGCTTGCAATTTTAGTCAGTGATAAGTGTATGACATCCATATATGAAATGAAACAAGAGGGAAGTTGGTCCAAAGTGTTTACTGTTCAACCTCGTATAGATACTGCTCATTTGCCTAAAAATATATGGGAGAATGATAAGATTGTTTTTGAACTGACAGAAACTTCACAGCTGGTGCTATATGACCCTACAAGAAGTCAAGTTACGGATCTTGGAATTCAGCTGAGGCTTATTGGCTGTCGTGTTTTCAATTATCAAGAGAGCCTAGCTCTAATTACAAAAGGAAATGAGTCTCAAGACCAGGATAATACTGATCGAGCAAATGAAGTAGTACAACTATTAGGTGGACGAATGATGTCAAGAATTGAAAACTGATTTTCCCCCTTTGATCTTTCATTTTCTGAGTAATAGTACTAATTTGTTAGCTAGCTGGATGAACCTATTACTATTGGGTTATTGGCTTCTACTCATTCATCATGTCCTATTTATACTTTGGTCATTGATAAGAACATAAAGTTTATTTGTTTCATAGTGTTTTGCTCACATTTGACTACTTGCTGAATTGTTGGCTAAATGTGTATTATTTTATTAAAATAAGCTTTAAGAAAATATGCAAAGAGTCAAATTTGAAATATAATAGGAATATATCAAGTATTCAAATTTGATTAACTATTGACATTTGCTGCTGTGTATCTTCCATGGTTACTTAAAGTGAGTCAAGAAGCAGAAAACAATAAGAAATTCATATCGAGCTCATGTTCAGGGAATCGATATGTCAGTCTAAGAGCACAGGCAGTGATGACCATCTTGTCCTGGTTTTGACCCTAAGGACAGTTTGATTGCTAAGTCCATTATGGAGGAAGACATCATAGGATGCCTATTCAGGGGTGGAGATAATTGAAAGAAACTTGAGAACAAGACAGAATTACAATGAAATAACCAAATTGATCTCCCTGGTGTTGAAGCTGCTCGCTTCTTATCTGGGGACATGGACTACAGAGAGAATGTCCATTTGTCGAGTTCTGTTCTCTTTCAATATGTTTGTAACTTGTCTCATTCTACTTATATTTCCACCAGTATGGATGGTTGTCGTCCTTTACCAGAAGATGTAGTAGTTGATATTCTATTGAGGTTGCCTGTGGAATCACTTTTGCGTTTCAAATGTGTGTGCAAGCATTGGTATCCTCTCATCAAAAGTTCTAGTTTCATAAAAGAACATTTTCATCACAGGAACAATCGTGCCTATCTACTCGTCTGTTACTCGAAAGTATCACATGAAGGACATGACATTGTAAAGTCTGTTGTATTCTCTATTGGAGCATCAGCAGTCAGTTCAGATAGTAGTTAATAATTACGTCGGTATTTGTGTTTCATAGTCCTTGCTTATTTAGGAATCTGCATTATCTATATCAACAGATATTATCTATATAGTTCAGTTAGAACCTATTCAGTCTTTACATGGTATCAGGGCTCTTCACGCCCTAACGAGAACGATCCAATTTTTTTTCCTTCCTTCTCCTCACGCAGATCAGCAACATGACCAATAACAATGGCAACAATACTAGAGTTGTCAATGCTGATAACATGACTGGTAGCAACATTATCATTCAGTTCAATATTGCATCCCAATTACCCCTCAAACTAAGCGGTGGTCACAACTTCGCCTACTGGAAAGCCCAATTCTCCATGCTTATGTATGGCTACAACCTCTTTTGCCATCTCGATGGGACCACTCCATTCCCCAGTAGCACGATTACCCTCGGCACGAACACATCTCCTAATCCTACCTTCTTAACTTGGTTCCGTCAGGACAAGCTCATCCAGAATGCCCTCATAGCTTCTGTTGAACCCACCATTGCTTCTACTGTTGCTGCCGCTGACTCGGCTAAATCAGCTTGGGATGCTTCATACAACTTATGCGAACAGATCTCAAACTCGGGTCTTTAGTTTGCGTGATCAGCTTGCCCGTGTCACTAAAGAATCTCGCTCCATTACTGATTATCTTCACGCTATTCGGTCTCTTTCGGATGAGTTAGCCACTGTTGGTGCTCCTGTGTCCAATCCTAAGGACCTAAACTCATCGTCAAAATACTCAGTGGTCTAGGTCCTGAGTTTCATAAGATCTCCGCTGCCATTCGTGCACGTGATACGGCTATCTCCTATGAGGAATTGTTTGAAAAACTACTGGACTATGAACTTTACCTTCGCCATGAGGATGCTAAGAAACTGTCTAGTCCTATCACTGCTGCAGTCGCTACTCCCACCAAATCCAACACCAATAATCGCAATAGTCGCAGGCAGACCAACAATTCTCAACAATGGCGCCAGAACTCACGTCCAAACACTCCACCACAATGGCAGTCCAACTCGAATCCAAACAGTGTTACTCGATGTCAACTATGTAACAGGATTGGCAATACCGCCAATGTCTGCCACTCGAAGTTTCACAATCACTTTGAAGTTAAAGCCAACTATGCAGCTGGGTTTACTACTGCAACCAACCCCTGGATAGTTGATTCAGGAGCCACCGATCACATCACAACTGAGTCACACAATCTACAACCGTACCACGGTAACGAGGATGTATCCATGGGTGATGGTAACAAAATTCCCATCTCTCACACTGGTTCTACTCAATTAAATGCATCAAATAATGTTTTTAAGTTAACCCACACTTTGTGTGCCCCTTCTAGCAAACACAAACTTCTCTCTGTTTCTAAATTTTATCAAGACAATCTAAAGTCTACTGAATTTTTTCCTTTTGACTTTGTTGTGAAGGATTTGAAAACGCGGAAACCACTGGTGCACAGCCGGACCAACAATGGACTGTATGAGTGGCCTGTATCACATCCTCAAGCTCACATGACTGCACCATCCATTCCTCTCACTACTTGGCATCAACGTCTTGGTCATCCTCACTCTAGAGTTCTTAGGTTTATTTTGAATAAATTCTCGCTACCATTTCATGAGCGAGACAAACTCTTCCATTGCAATTTTTGTTTATCTAATAAAGCCCATCGGCATCCTTTTACTCAATTATCACTGTGTAGCTCTAAACCGCTTCAAATTATTTTTAGTGATTTATGGGGGCCATCACCGATTTTATCTCTTGACAAGAAGTTGTATTATTGTATCTTTGTTGACCAATATACGAAATACACTTGGCTCTACACATTAACCAAAAAAAGTGAAGTTAAAGACATTTTTCAAAAGTTTCATCCTCTGATGGAAAAACATTTTGACACAAATTTTTTATCATTGTATACTAATGGCGGAGGAGAGTATAAAAGTCTTCACTCTTATCTTTCAATTAACGGCATTGAACACCTCTCCACCCCACCATATATGCCTCGAGGAGTTACACTTGTAGAACAACGACATCGTCATATCATTGAAACTGCAAGAACACTCTTACATAAGGCATCCCTTCCACCCCAATTTTGGTCCTTCGCGTGTCGTCATAGCTAGTGTCTACCTCATCAATTGTCTCCCAACCTCTCACCTTGATAATCAATCTCCGTTCCAACGATTACTTGGTAAATCACCCGATTATAACTCCTTACGGATTTTTGGTTGTTTATGCTATCCATGACTTAAACCATACTCCAAAAATAAATTTGAACCAAAATCTACCCCGTGTGTCTATCTCGGATTCTCCTTATCTTATCACTGCCACCAATGTTTTGATCCAATCTCTACAAAGGTGTATTTGTCCCGAGATGTGCGATTTGTTGAGCATATTTTTCCATTTAAAACTTTGTTCTCTAATACTACCATTAAACCAGCTCACCTGGAATGGGCAAAAACCACAATACCAAATTCTTCAGACCCCACACCTAAAATTCCCGTAGTTACAGATCTTCCCCCACCATTAGAAATAGAAGCACGCACGCTAACAGATTTTCCGTCATCGTCTGATTCTTCTCCAGCCAAGTCCCAGGGCCACTCAAACTCACAGTCCTCATCCGACAATGCATTTGTGGTGGACGCAGCTTCTGTTGGGTATGTAGCAAGAGTAATGGGAAATGAAGGGAAGATGAAAAAGAGAGGAACTTGAAAAGTTGGGAACTTGAAGAGTTGAGAACTTGAAAAGTCCTCTTATGCTTTATTAAAAAGGCATTTGTCCCTCATCGGTGGTGGAAAGAAAAATAGGAGAGTTTAAATACAGAAACACTCCTATTAATATTAAAAGGGTTGGAAAGAGGGACCCCCCTCACGCCGTCGTCGTCACTCGCTCGGCTTCAGTTTTGGCTTTGGCTTTGGCTTTGGAAAATGATCGAGAGATTATTTTTTAGACAAAGTTTGTTTTAATTATTTTAGTTAATTATTTATTTAATTAATTAAAATTAAATGGCCAACGTTTTAATTAGCTAATTAACCAAAGTGTTTCAATTAATTAGTTAATTGACCCGACCCGACTCGGATCCACGCGCGACCAGTTTTATTTAAATCTTTCTCGTTTTATTTGAATTTCCCGCCGTTGGAAGTGACTGTTCTGAAAGGTTGCAACTTTCAGAAATAGCCATGACCATTTGAAAGGTTGTAAACTTTCATGAATGGTCGTGTGGATTCTGAAAGGATTGCAACCTTTCGGAACCAGTTCCTCTTGCCTATAAATACATTGATTCCTCAGACTTATTCCTTAC